ATGTCGAAAACTATTTCCACTTATTTCTCAGCGTGTCACTTCTGAGCTGAAAATCCGTGGAGCTGGAAGCAGATTGAACTTTTCTCCTCAGACAAACGGACAGTTTATTCTCATACAATGAATAAATAACGCGTGTGATATTTTTTAATGAATCAGCCAAGTGTTTCGGTTTATATTCCTGCAAAATACATTCTAATTAATAAGGCGATTATTACAGAAATATATCATGACTATTGTTGTCTGTTTCAGTCAGTGACAAAGTGCTGCCGTTTACCATTCATCTAAATAATCTAATTCAAACTTGGTGTTACATTAAGCTATCAACCAGTGGTTCACACACAGAGAGAAAGTGAGGGGGAGAGAAATGATTCCAAAGGTACAAATTTAAATGTCTAGACAGTGTTTACTTAATATATGGCGCCGCCTTCTGGTGATCTGAGAATCTGTATTCATAGTCTGCTGCCTTTTCAGGATCATAAGTAACTTCAGTTAATTTACTTCAAGATTATCTCTACTCAAGCGCGTTCAAAGAGAGGTGAAGCTCCGTGGCTTCACAGCAAAATAAACCCATCGAGGCCACTTTTATTTTTCCTGTTGGTAAAATAATCTTGATGTTTTCTCTTCTCTTTGCAGAACTTGACAAAATGGCTTGCGCAGCAGACAGCTGCATACAGTTCACACGCCATGCAAGTGATGTTCTGCTCAACCTGAATCGGCTTCGCAGCAGAGACATCCTGACAGATGTCACTATCCTGGTGAACAGACAGCAGTTTCGTGCACATAAGACCGTTCTCATGGCTTGCAGGTGTGTGTTGTTTAAGTTTTAAGTCAGATTTCCTGCCGCTCATCAGTGATCAAGAATCAGAGACTGATCTGATGTCTGTGTCTTGTTTTTCTGTCTCCCGGCTGCAGTGGGCTGTTTTACACTATCTTTACTGACTCCCACAAGTGCAACCTTAATGCTATCAGTCTGGACCCGAAGGTGGATCCAGAGGGTTTTGCCATCCTGTTGGAGTTTATGTACACCTCCCGTCTCACACTAAAGGAGAGTCTGATCATGGCTATCATGAATACAGCCATCTACCTGCAGATGGACCATGTTGTGGACACCTGCCACAGATTCATCAAATCCAGGTCGGTACAAACCAATTCCTTCACTAATAAGTGTAAATCCATGATGAATAGGGCTGAACAATTAATCAATTGCAGTTTTAAACAATGCAGTAAGAAAATCAAAAGGCTGAAATTTGGTCTATGCAGCGCGTCTAAACCAGAGTTTAAAGAGTTGTGTTAATGCCGTCCCCTGTGTGTCATCACCCTTTTGATGGTATTTCATGCGGAAATGCTCAATCACATTTTAAATCTAGTACACGGTGATACTTAAAAAAATTCAATCGCAAGCTACATTTCAATATCTGTTAGAAAAAATTGATATTTTCCCCACATTGTTCGGCCGTCGTGATTCTCAGCGTGTGTGTGTGTGTGTGTGTGTGTGTGTTTACAATCTTCTCACTCTCCTCACAGTGATCCGTCTGCCAAGTTGCCCAGAGATGAGTTTTTGGTCAGTCCCCTGGTTTTACCTCAGGATGTCCACGCTTACCGGCCCCATGATGTTGTTGACAGTTTGCACAGCCGCGTGGCTCCGTTCAGGGATGGGAGGCCCTACGGCTCCAACATGTTCAGCGGGGTCAGCACCCCCAGCAACTACCATCTCTATGGGCAGTTTCCCATGCCAGGATTCCCTTTCCCTCTCTGCAAGCTGACTGATACCAAAAACGCTTTTGCTGACCTCTCAAAGAGTGGTATCCACCACAAGCATTGTTCTCCACATGACAGCAGCAGTAGCATCAGGGCAGAGTACAGCAGGGCAGTCGGCACCAGCTCCTCCAGTATTATTCACTCCACCACGTACGCTTCCAGGGAGGTGGGCAGAGATGATGAGATGAGGAAGGAAAACCACGAGGGGGTCAGCCAGTCCATCGGTCTCAGCACAAGGAAGCGAGCGTTTCCCGTGTTGACCCTTGAGCACCAGAAGGACTTGGGCAAAGAGCACGCTCCGCAGGCGGAGGAAGACCTGATCCATCAGCACTATCCCCTGGGTATCTCCTCCGCCGGACGCAAGAGCCTCATGAGCAGCCCGCAGAGCCCACTCAAATCCGACTGCCAGCCCAACTCCCCGACCGAGTCCAGCAGCAGCAAGAATGCCGGCCTCTCTCAAGCCGCCGGAGCGCAAGTCCCGCAAGGTACGCAGGACCCCAAAGCTCGCAACTGGAAGAAGTACAAATTCATCGTGCTGAATCAGAGTGCGAAGGAGGATGAGGTCGCACTGAGGGATCCTGGGCTGCGCTCGCCTCAGAGGCTCAGCCTGCAACCCTACCTCCACCCCGGCGACTCGGAGAACCTCGACCCACAAACCACGAGCAAGAGCAGCGAACACAGCGAGGATCTACCTGTGCCCCAGGCCAGTCGTCTCAACAATATCATTAACAGGTGAGGCCGAGTTTTCGATGTGAATCAAGTTAGATTATTGCACTTGACTGATTAAAATTTACTGCTCAAAATTTTAAAACAATTTTAGAAACTTTATTTTGGATTTACGTCTTGTATTGTGCCAACAGTGCACTTGAGGGGTCACTGAGGAGCGCTGACGGCCACCCTCCACACTACCTGAACCGCCTCAACTGTTCGTCCTGCGGCTCTCAGTCCCCGCAACACTCTGAGGTTTGCCCCAACACCTCCAGGTCCCGTCTCTCAGAGGACATGGCAGAGTTTCATTCAGAATATTCAGACTCCAGTTGTGGTGAGTTTCTGATTTTCTTCTCACATCAAAAAAACCCCGATCACTCTGCATCTTTCAGGAGCAGAAGTTAACTCTTACCACGATTTCTACCACACAGAAAACGGTACGTTCTTCTGTAATGAATGTGACTCCAAGTTTGCTGAGGACGAAGCTCTGAAACAACACATGCTTCAAGTGCACAGCGACAAGCCATACAAGTGTGACCGCTGTCAGGCTGCTTTCCGCTACAAAGGCAACCTCGCCAGCCACAAGACTGTCCACACAGGCAAGTAAAGCAAATGAAACAGACTCGTTTATTAGCTCTGGACTGTCTGCGCCTCTTTGTTGCTGAAATCTAAAGTGATTTGTTACTTTCAGGGGAGAAACCGTATCGCTGTAATATCTGTGGTGCTCAGTTTAACCGACCAGCTAACCTCAAGACTCACACTCGCATCCACTCAGGAGAGAAGCCATACAAATGTGAGACGTGTGGAGCTCGTTTTGTACAGGTAATTACAGCCTTCACATAAAAAAAATCTTAAACCGGTTTAAAAAAACATTTTACCTCTCTATTATGTATTGACCAATAGCGCTAACACTCGATTCTGGACTGTAATAATGGGCGACTGTAGTTATTTTCAGGTTGGCAGAAGCACCTATAAGGGTGTTTTTTTTTTTTTTATACAATGAATACAATGCTGTCTGAAAAGTTTCAGCAAAGTGCGTCTGTGTAAAAACATTTGCTTGGACTATTCACCAGTTATAGTTCATTTGAATGCTTTAAAAAAAAAAAAAATCTATTAGAAAGTTTGATTCCACTGAGGCTGAACAGTTTATCAAAATATTATTAAAATCACAATATGGTTGAGGGCTACATCCAAATTGCATGAGCTACAGTTTTCATGATAAATCAAATTGTGTGACCAAACATTGTTGTAAATAAAGCAGTGTGGTGCAGCAGAGATGCTCCAGCCTACAAATCATATACTCCAGACATATGGGG